TGTAGAGCTGTAGATTTGACTAACTCATCAGCATGTTTATTGTTCAGATGTCCCTCATGTTCAAGCCAGAGTCACATCGTCACATTATTTCGACGCCCTAGTCTCACCAAAGCATCCAAACAACTCGATATGAATCTGGATTTAATCAGAATGAGTTGATCGCTCTCAATTTTGCCTGGCTATCATATCTACCTAAAAGACTGTAGTTGGCATCGCTAAAATCGAATATGCCTTTAATTAAAGGAAAATACTGAAGAAATGTTTTAATCAGGAAAGAATGCATACGCCTTAGGACGACAATAGCCAAGTTTCACCGAGTAATCTTACTTCCAAATTCCATTCAATTAAATCGTCCCATCACCCCGAGTGTCGTTAATTAACAATCATTTATTTATTCGATGAGTTAAGGATACAACGCGTACTGATCCGGTGGGGATTGTAGTTTGCATCGAATACGCTAATCATTTTTCAGGTTGAGTCACTTCAAAAAAGAGGTGGGACCGATGTAAAGCTCTAATTTAATCCTACTCTCAACCTGGTTTTACATACCGAATCACGCGGTAACGGGATCCATCGGAATGAAGTGGCTTCGATTCCCACTCAAATTTCAACGAGCACGAGGCTGTCGACCGAAAACCGTAATGAAAAATTGTTTTTAAATTACAATTTTAGTCATGAATTTTTAGGATGATGATTTGCTTTGCTTTGCTAAGTGTAGCTGTGTGGTTTTGAAAGATAACGAAGAAATTATTGTTAGCACTAATAATAAAAATGATTATTATATAAATATATCCATGAAGACCGACGGACATAAGTCAAAAATGAGAATAAATATGGACACATACCATTTAAATGACAACCGCTCACACATAAATGAAACCACCCTAACAGCAAAAAATTGGTAACATATAGATTCTCCGAAAGAATGCTAATAGCCGCAGAAGCAGAAACGCTAGAAATCTGAGAAATTCCTAACAGAGCGCGTTCAAGTCTGTGGACGTCAGCGTGACTGACAAAAAGTTTGGAGAAAAAACGCATTAAGTTTAAGTAGTTTCCGTGCAATATAAGGGGATGATAATTGTTCCAATGATGTTATTACCCAATCCGAGAGATTTATAGCCTCCGAACAATTAACGTTCATTTACCCCAGAAATATATAGCGCCATTAAACACAGCATCTCTCTTCCTTGGACGTTGGTGGTAACTCATCACATTAAATTACGAATTAATCTTCCGGACAGGTTTAGTAATTTATTGTCTTTCTTTGTTACCTTTCGATGCGAAAATCGAATTGAATTGCTGTTCTTATTCCTCTAATGTGATAAAAATGCGAAGGTCATACAGAACTAATGGAATAAGATTAGAAGAAAGAAATGTAACCAGACATGTTGAGAAATATATGTAATATAAAAATTGAGATACAAAACACTGAAATCTATTAAAGAATTCATGCAAGGCAAAAAGAAGGATACGTAGAACTGAAAAAAGGAAGATGAAGGCCAAAGAAAGGAACAGAATTATCCCGTACATAATAATATCTGAAGCATAAGGCAATTATAACAAAAATCATCAAAAGTATAGACCTAAGTAGTCGTTAAGTAAGTTCGGATAATATACAGTATGTCCACGGTTAGGGTGAGTAAGAGGAAAAACTTTTTCATTTTACATTTTACGGATAAACAGATAAAAAGTTTTGCTTGAATTTAAAATGATTTTGCTATGGTGAAACTTAACATTTCATGTACGGGCTGTCTAGAAAATAAAAAATTTGAAAATGTCACGAGAGTAAACTACCTTTATTTTTAATATTTTTGAATAGTGTTACTAGTCCAGACTTAACAATCATGGACTTTTACTTGTGGGGCTGACTCAAACAGATTGTGTATAGCAGGCCTTTGGACAGTAAAATCAAACAGCTAAAACAACGAATTAGAGATGATGTACAGTCCATATCTTTAGAAGAGATTAGACGCAGCTACAATGAATTCCTTGCACGCTTTCAAAGTGTGAAAGTTGGTGGAGGAGTGTTCGAATAATGTTTTATTAACATAAATTTTTTTCCAAATTTATTATGTCCTGTAAAAAATTATACCAATTTTGTGTGCGAATTGTTTTATTTAAAAACTCAAGTAACTTTGGTTGTTTACTCTCGTGACATTTTCATATCTTTTTATTTTCTGGACACCCCGTACATGAAATGTTAAGTTTCATCATAGCAACCTCATTTCAAATTCAAGCAAAACCTTTTATGAAGTGTGCCTTTTTTCCGTAAAATGTAATATAAAAAAGGTTTTTCCTCTTATTCACCCTAACCGGGGACATACTGTAGATGATTTTTTGTATTTTTTAAGGAAAAAATTTGTATGGCCTTATATCTTAATTCCTAAATGAATTAGTTTTAGAGATGTAAGAAAATACTGTTTTTGAAAAATAACACAAATACGAAAATATCTCGGAAGATCTAAATAAAGATAAAAATTCGCTGACATTATATTCACTTACTAGTGTAGGCCAATCATTATAGCTTTTTTTCGGGAAAAAAATACTATTAGAAGTTTTTCTGCGGAATATTGTTCAGAAACGTGTTATAAACAAAATATCAAAAAATCAACTCGAGACTAGTTGGGAAACATTGTTAAAACAATGGTCAAAATTATGAAAAAATAGCTTTTCGAGTGGCGTAAAAAAACTGTTATTCATAGAGAAAAAAAGGTTTATACAAAAAAGGTAGGTATTAAATAAATCTGTAAAATGAGACAAGTCCGATTAAATTCCGATAATTTGTTTATGCGCAAGAGCTCAAAAATGGTCGAAATTGTAAGCTTTTTTCAATTGCTAATAATTAATGCAATTTTCATCGCAGACACATGTAATTCAGGATTTTTGAAGCTTTTTGCACCCTTAATAAGTGGTAAAAAATTCAGCCCAAAAACTTCATTAGCTTGGCGTTGGCGGAATTTGTTATCTAAGAAGATGCCATTTTCAATTCATTTTTCCCAAGCTCACAGGCGTTGTAGGGTTTCGATCATTAGTTGTTTTTGTACCTAAATAGTTGTATTGACATATGCATTTACTGATAATTTAATTTTTCAAATTTAATTTGTTTAAAAATGACTTTGAAAAAATGTTAATTTTTATTACATCGTTAAGCGCGCATGCTAAGCTTCGCCTTCCCCACTCGTTCGCTAGACCAAGTAATAGAACGCATCGCCGCTATCTTCTTTTTCGAAATTAAATAGTTGAATTCACCTTAATGTTAATGTAGGACATGAAAATATAGCTCTTAATGTATATTCTCTCCAAATTTCGGCTTTTAATATTAATAATTAAGGTCACTGCGATTATATAAATAAAAAAAATTATCTCAGCTTCTAATCAACTTACAACAACGATCTTTTTTTAAATTCGAAGAAAACTAAAGTAAAGAGGTTACTATTTTATTTTATAATAATTACCTATCTTAACAATTTAATAAATATTAACATTTTTTCATGTCAATTCTAAACAAATTAAATTTGAAAAACTAAATTCTCGGTAAATGTCTATGTCTATACAACTATTTAGGTACAAAAACAACTAATGATCAAAACCCTACAACGCCTGTGAGCTTGGGAAAAATTAATTGAAAAATAGCATCTTCTTAGATTCCGCCAACGCCCAATCAATAAAGCTTTCGAGTTGAAATTTTTACCACTTATTAAGGGTGTAAAAAGCCTCAAAAATCCTGAATTACAAGTGTCTGCGATGAAAATTGCATTAATTATTAGCAATTGAAAAAAACGGCAATTTTCGACCATTTTTGAGCTCTTGTACTACTTTTTTTGTACAAACTTTTTTTCGCTATGAATAATTTTTCATGTCTATAATGACTGGGCTAGTGAGGGAGATACTGGAAAATACTTTTCCACACCGTTGAGTATTTTAGAAATTCTACCAGTCCAGCTGATTTGAAGTTGGATGTCTAAGAAAAAATACAGGACGTTTACAAACTTTAAGGGAGTATTTTAACAGTACGAAGAATGCATTAATAGATATTTTCATAACTAAAATCAATGAACAGCAAGCAAAATGGCCTTTAAAATTAATAGGTCGGTCAAAATCGACACAAAAAATCGCTAAATTCGCAAAACATGATGTATCTCTGATTTTTTAGTATGTTGTTTGGACCCATTAGGGCTATGTATACCCAAGTTTGCAACTCTCAAAAAGTTGTGGACACATTTTTACACACCAAAAACCGCGAAATTTTTGGACTTGTTTCAGATTCTGCTCTATATCTCCAAATCCATGCATTTTTTGTCGAGAGCTATTCTATACGTTTTTTAAGAGCATCAAATTTGTGATAAACTAAGCCTAACCGCAACTCTGTAGGTCAATCGGTTACAGAATTACGGTACTTTGGAAATAGGCCAGTTTGAAAAAAAAAATTTTAGTTTTAGACCTTCTTTGGACGGATATTGCGTAGAAACCAATGATCCTACGAGTAGAACTTGTAGTATATAATTTGTAGGCAATTTCATTACTAAGCGTAGAGCGGGGTCTGTAAGCCTCGTAGTTCTCTCAAAATAGCAAAAAAACCCATATACAGACCCCGTTTGAGGTCATAAATAGCGTGTCATTATGTTTTTTAACCGTTTTTTGAATTTGTTTTTAAAGTTTTATGAATTAGTTATCGAACAATTTTATTACGAGTTATTTTCCATTTATTCAACCTTGTAGCTTACTTGAGACTAAATAAAGTACTGACATTTTCAAATAACATGGAAAAGATCATTTTCATTTGGAATACAATTAGGAATCGAATGAATTTATAACATTTCCGAAACGCTTAGTGGCACCTGGGGTTGTCTGTGAAGGGAAAAACTTCAACGCCTTGGGCGTATTTTTTGCAACAAATCATAAAATTATTAGAGCGGCGTACATCGACAGTAAATATGGCGCTATTTCGACGGTGTGTATACAACGTTGTAAACCCTCGCGTTCGACCTACGTGTACGTACCTATAAAAAACCAGGTATATTGTTTCCCGTAGAGACTCTGCTTGTACACCTCGCACAGAACTCGCCTCGCGGCTACGACGTAGAACAGCCCCACAATAACCCTTGAATCCTGTCTCCTGAGATTCCTCACGGCGTCTGTGGGATCCGATAGAAAGGACTGCCTGGTTATTATTTCTATACCTGGAACAAAAGGTAAATAATAATAATGTGGCAAACATGAAGAAGTAAATAAAATATCGGCCGGCTTATATGCAGCGTATGCGGTCTTGTACCACAGGCAATGCTACACACAGTCTGTTTATTTTCGATGCTGTTACGAAGGATATAATATTTCTCCCAAATTGGGTGTATGTTGAATACGCTGAAGATGAATTTTTTGCGAGGTAAATAATACTGGAACATCCTACAGTCCCAGGTTTATTTATTTTGTTCTGTGTCCTAATTTTATTAGGTTTCATGTTTTTTTTTTATAAAATGTAAAAACGCGAATATCTTTTCATACATAAGTCTTGCCATTATTTAGTCGTACATAGAGAGTAAATAAGTAAATACAAATGAGGTAATTCCTTGAAAATTAATTAATTCTCCTTGTGGATTTATAGATCTTCATACGGAAAGTTTTCATTATTTCCTTAAATATGAAGAAAATAACAGAAAAATATCTTTTGTTTTTCCTACTATGGAAAATGTATTTACTAATTTATTGATCTTGCCCTTCTTTTGCAAGGGATAGAAACAACCACCCCTTTAAGCTACCTTTGTGAACCTTTTTTTCTCCAATCTGGTCACTTAAAATCTGTTTTAGATAGGGTGATTTATTTTAGACAACTTTTTTCATAAACGTAATAATTCTTGGAGTAAGAAATAGTGTAAAAGCTTTTATTGTAATAAAAGTACATTAAAATGAACAAAAATAAATTGAAAGACGACTTAATTATAAACTGAAAACCATAAAATATTATAACAAATGCAGAAAATAACCACCTTCAAGGGTGAATAAACCAATAATAAGATTCTCAATTCTTGAATAACTTGCATAGATATTTTCTACATTAAAGTTTTTAATGCAACCTGATATATAAAAGGGATTTAAACCGGAAATTCGAGGAGGCCACTGCCTATTCATCGAGTTGAATATTCCTGGTTTATTTAAACCGCAATATTTGTTGTTGTATTTTTTCGTTAAAATGGGCCATTATCCACAAAGCAAGGTTGAGCTCAAACACCTAGAAGTATATTAAGAAGTATTTAAGTACCTACTTCTTTGTACCGTCTTTGTCTATACCGCTTTAATTTCTCGGTCCTTTTCTCTTATAAGTAAACAATATAAAAACAGCATTTCAAAACATGAGGCTACTTTAAGCATCATAACCGGGTTAAGAGGGTTTTTAGTAATTCAAATAAAATTATTCAATATTATTATCAAAATATTTATTTAAATTTAATGAATAGACTTTTATTCCACACTAAAATATATGTATTTTGAAAATTCAAATTATGGTGAGTAA